GAGCCTATTTTACACAAACCCGCCTCGGCCGGCCTATGCCCGCTATCAACCTGCCAAAAAATGAGTCTGCCCCGCCCCGCCCCACTTTTGAGATGGGTTGAAAAACTCAGTCCGCCTCACTCCGTTTAGCGAGTTGGGCGGGTTGACCCGCCGAGTCGAACTTGTTTTGCCGGCTCTACTAAAAGGTACCAGCCAAAAAATAATACAATGACGGTATATTTTTTTATTTCAGTTTTATTATACTTAATGCAACAAATTATAGTGTAATTTTAACGTGCACGATATATATAAATACATTGATATGTAAATACGGTGAATCTTAAAAATTATAATGTAATATAATTAAGATATAGTATATGAAATTTAATTTAATTTAAAATGATAAATGATACATATATATATATATATTTGGTAAGCATGATACAAATATATTTATTATAAAATGACTTACGAAAAGAGAAAAGTGAAAAAAATTTGTTTATCTTCACAGTTAATTATTTACTTTTAAAATTTTACCATTTTCACTTTTATATCATGATTGATTGCGGGACTTTTGTAGTAATTTTTATACAAAAGTTTTCATGCTAAATAACGGGAAATATATTTTTTTATTTCCTTTTTTTGGTAAATATATATTGTTGTTTAACTTGTATACATTGTTATCATTGTAAAAACAAAAATTACATCATTGACCCCATTTATAATGACTTTGATAAGATGTGAGTTGTCACACCTATTAAATGATGTGATTACACATCATCGGATGACGATCTCATATTTTTTGACACTGATAATCCGTTGAAATAAAACTCATAAAATTAATATAATGTTAACGTAAAACGACAATTAATATTTTATAAGTCTATTTTTTTTTTTGTAAATTATAAGTCTATTTTATTCATTGTTTTACAAAAATAATTTAACTTATCTAATAATTATTGTATTTTGCATTGATTAAACTTTAAAGATAATTAAAAGTATAAGCAAAAAATATACAATCGTATTGGAGGTCAATACAAGTTCATTTATTAGATTCATTTAATATTAATTTAATTTTAATATTTTACTAACATAATTTCATTCTTATATTTAATGGGGAACAACATCTGTCATTTTAAAAAATATAAGCTTACGTCATTTTAGATTCTAATAATTGATTTCTGTCCATTAACGGTTATAATTTATTGGATCTAAATTATTAATTAATTAATAATAAATTTGGGCCATTAAATTTACTCAATAGATTATAACTATTGATAGACGAAAATCAACGGTTAAGATATAAAATTATATAATTGATCATGTCTTTTAAAAAGGATAGATGTTTTTTCAAATATTATTATCATTAAATATAATTACATTCCCTCAAAATTATAATCTTCGTATACTTTTTTTTTTTGGTAATCATAATCTTCATACTTTATTACTACAGTGAGCTACAAATAATTTTTGTTTACTGTATATCAAATTGGATATTCACACATAGTACCTTTTATTATTAAACTAAAGGGAATTATATTCTCTTGTAGGAATCATTTTGTTGTCATATTAAGAAAAAGATAAGGTATATATATATATATATAGTATTAAAAATAAGAGTTTTGTTTTTGTAATGTTGCATGACAAGAGATTATTTTCCTACGCACTCATGCTATATGTGAGGTCCATTAAATAGTAAAGTGAGAAAAAAATCAAAGGTTAGACCCAGCTTGGATTGTGCGTGTAGAAAAAATGGTTAGTTGTCATGTAACATGACAAATTATTTTCCCTAAGGGAGCGTTTGGTTGAGGAGAAATATTTATGAATAATAGGGAAATGTGATTACTAGGGAAATGGTTAGAATGTGAGTTTAGTAGGAAAATGTAAAAAAAGTTGTTTGGTTGGATAAAATTTTGATGGAGAAATTAGGTAACTTTTATAAAGTCTATGTTTGGGTGTAGGTAAAATATAGATGGAAAAAAAAGTTGTTTTTACGAAAATAACCCCATTTTTAAAATATTTTGAATAACGCATTGTACCCCTTACCCGTAAACAGGGTTGTCATTAACGCAACGTCCATATGTAAAAAAAGTTTGTGTTCCAACGTCCATATATTATTTATTTATTTATTTATTTATATTTTTTTTTCATTTCAGCCACCGCCCTACCCCCAAAAATCACCATCTCCACCGCCGAAGCCACCGCAAATGACATAGCCACCGTCCACAACCTCCCTCACCGATTCAAGCTAGCCAAGACTACACCACAACCACCGTCCCATCTCCTTCTTCACAACCCACAATCACCATCGCCCCATCTCCTTCTTCACAACCCACAATCACCACCGCGGCTGTCCAACCGAGAAACCCCAACCTCTATCTTCGGACCACCATAGCCATCAACCGTAAAACCAAACATGGTGATTAAACAATCTCTCTTCTCATTTGCCTATCTATCTCATCGAAATCCCCCAACCAAACACACCCTAAAAATAATGATGGGACACTTTATTCAATGAATTGGTTTGTCTTTTTCTTATCGTGACAAATTTTTTGATTTCTACAACATGATGGATGCATTTCCCTAAACTAAGGGCCTGTTTGAAGTGACATATAAGACTTGATAGTATAATATTATATTATACGTTATGACATTTTCAGTTGTTTGGTATGACCATCGTAGAGTATAAACTTATGCAGCAGAATTCCTTAATACATCAAAATGATGTATAACTTAATCCGACCTAAGAGGGAGGGATGAGGTCTGATAAGAGATTAATGTATTAACATTATTGACCAGTGCAATTCTCAAAAATTAATATATTATTTTAATATTAATATATTAAAATAAAAATTATTTTTTCAATATATTAATTTTTAAAATATTGAATATTTTTATTTTATAAAAATTAATTTATATTTTGGACACACCTGCTCATTAAACTCACGTATTAAATTAAAATGGCAACTAAAATTACAGTTTTTCTATTCTTTAATATTTTTTGGAAAATGTTGATGAAGACAACCTGTGAAACACGGACACGCCTTTTGTAGGAAAAAATGTGTGTCCAACACGTGTCGGACTCGAACACGTTGACTAGTAGGACATGCGAATTTGACCATATCCGACACGTGATCAACGTATGTAGACACGTTTTGCATTTTTTTTTTTTGTAAAATAAAAATAAAATTACATTTAAAAAAAATACAAAATATTTAATAAAAATCAGAAAGTCTGGAAGTGGAACCCTATTCTCCGATCCTCTCTCGCGTTGTGGAGGCTTTCTTCTCTTCTTCGTTGTCGGTGGTTGGTTGGTCGCCTGCATCTCCGGTCGTCTGCATCTCCGGCTCAGCTTGCCAAGAAGCTCCTCATCAAGCTCCACAAAGGTACCCCATTCATTCTATGGTGCCTCTTTTCTTACTGTCTTCAGCTTCTGCGGATTCTGAATCAAAATCAAACTTGGAACTTTTTTTATACTGTGATGGTTGCTTGCCCTGGCTATTTGAATTGACGGGTTTTTGTTTATTTATTACAAATAAAAAGTAAAAGGACTTGGAATGAGATCGGTTCGAATGGTATGTGAAAGAGGGACTTTTATTTTTCACTTCTAAAAGGACTAAGAGTTTCATGTCAGAATCATAGCAAAATATTGAACTTTCATTTTTATATATAGTTTTTTCAAATTAATAGCATAATCATTTGTACGTTTTTCACTCTAAAACACCGTTTCATACATTTACTTTGTTTTTATATAGAATTAGCAGAACCATTTCCTAATGCCATTTTAAACAAGAGACACTGAAATTGTGATCCTAATCAAGTTAAATCCCTAACTTGGTTTTTTCAACCAACTTAATTTAGAACAATTTGAACAATGTTGGCTTTTTATTTGTGATATAAAAAGAAAAGGAAAAACTCCCACGGGTTCTGTTGTAAATCAAAGCACAGCTGATTTTACTATGCTTGGATCTTTTTGGTTGTAAGAAACATTTAGACCATGACAGTACATAGTTGCTTGGGCTTTACAAAGCAATGAATAGGGTTGGTAAATTTGAACCACTCGACCTTTGCCTGTCCTTTTTGGAGTGGGTTAGTTTGCTGACATTTCTTGAACTTTACTAACAATTGCTGAATTTTTTATAACTATTGACTAATGAATCTTTTCATATGCATAACTTATTGGTATTATTACATTACCTTCTTCTTGCATTTACTTGCTTTAGTTATGAATTTCTGATCCTTACTTCTGAACAGAACAAGGGTATAGGATGGTTTTTCATAGACTGAAGAATCTTATCTTTCTCATCAGAAAGAAAAAGAAGGGATAGAAGGGACAAAAAAAAAAAAGTTGTAGAAATGCAGAAATGGTTCATACTACCTTTTTGATATTGTTTTTTTTTTTTGTGTGGCAGGGAGTGTACATAGGAGCCTATTTTGATTGGTTGCAATTGAGTTGTAATTAGTTGTATCAAAACCCGTTGGGATGTTCTAAGTAAAATAATTAGTTCTTAAACTTGCAACTGAGTGTTCATAAGTAAAATAATTTTTCTATTTTTCTACACTCTACACTCTTGGGATGTTCTATTTTTTTTTAATATTTATGTTATGAAATTTAAATATTTGATTGGTTATATGACTTATTATGAACTCTTATGTGTATTAAATATAATAATATATTAAAATTTTTATTTAATATCAAAACGTGTCCAAATATGTCATTTTTTAGAATTAACGTGTCGTCGCGTCGTGTCGTGTCGTGTCCCGTGTCCGTATCCGTGCATCATAGAAGAGAACTTTGGCACCATAGCATAATAATAACATAAGAACATGCATTTTTATTTAGTTGTGCTTATTTTTTATAATTTATTAATTAATTATGAAATTATACAAATTTTATTGAATAATTTTTGAGCTTATTTAGTGAATATTGTTTAACTTATCTTAAATATATTTATCTTAAATATGGAGAATATATTTAAATTTATATATATTTATTATATTTATATGGGAAAAGTGTTTGTTATTTTAAATGACAGAAAGTTATGTCATTTTAAGAGAGATACATACACAGAAAATTTGAATTTTAAATTAAAAAAAAATCACTCATTTTCTCTCCTAAAATGACATAACTTACGTCATTTAAAATGACAAACACCAAACCTTATTTATAAATGAATCAACTAGTCTTACCAATAATCCAGTAACTCAATACCCTCACCGGATTAATGCCTGGGTTGGATTTAACATTTAACAACGCTAAAATAACCTTAACGAGATATACAATAATTCTGTAGTTTATTTTATTACAACGTGAAATACAAAAACATATTGCCATGGTAGAATGTTGCTATGTACCAAGCAACAAACAAAGATGGGATGTAGAAAACTATTAATACAAAATACAAAAACTTAAAACTCAATCGTGACAGCATATACACACACAGCCACCATCAGTGTCTTCAACCAAAACAAAAATCTGTAAAATTACACATTATTAGTACTATCTAAGGACTATAATACATAGCCCTTATCATAATATTTATATTTTCTAAAATCAGTGCTTTCAGAAGAAAGCTTCAATGTTCTAATCTCCATAACCATATCCACCTCCAGAGCGACCATCACGTCCATCCCTACCATACCCTCCACCAGAACGATCTTCACGCTCATTCCCATAACCACTTCCGGAACGTTCATCCCCATAACCACCACCACCAGAACGGCCTCCATCACCATAACCACCGGTGCCAGAACGGTTATCATCATAACCAGCACCAGAACGTCCATAACCACTCTCAGAACGTTCGTTATTCCCATAACCACCACCAGTACCAGAACGGTTATCATCATAACCGCTCTCAGAACGTTCGTTATTTCCATAACTACCACCAGAACGGTTATCATCATAACCGCCACCAGAACGTCCGTAACCACTTTCAGAACGTTCATTATTATTATTCCCATAACCACCGCCAGAACGTCCATATTCACTCTCAGAACGTTCATTGTTCCCAAACCCACTATCAGAACGGTCATTATTATTGTTATTCCCATAACCACCGCCGGAACGGCCATCGCCACCATGACCACCGTGAGAAGAACGGCCAGTGTTGGCGGAGGAGTTTTCAAACTGGTGGAGATAATCAGCAGCCTTGTCAACGTATTTTCCAATGCCCTTGTCATCAAGCTTGCCATATTGACCAGCAGCGTCTAGAATATCACCAGCAGCATCAGCGACCTTGGATCTGTCAATCTTGTCAGAGCCGCCATGGCCGAAAGCTGCATCGGACAACACCTTCGCGGAGGAGAACAGCTCGCTGCTTGAATGACGCTCTTGCTGCCCTTGACCACCGCCATAGGAGGAGTTGTTGTTGTTGTAGTTATCAGAATCCATTGTAATGTGTTGTTGTTGGAATATATTGAATACTTAGCTTGGATATGAGATGTGCAAGAAAATGGGGTTCGGTATTTGTAGGGGAAAACTATGCTAAAAAAAAAATTCATTGGAAATTGTGGTTGAAGTGAAGGTAGATAATGTGGGGTCTATCCTTTTTCTTTGCGGAAATTAAGTTGTGGTGTCGGTAAGGGCTTTTGACCTTATCTTCCCCAAGTGTTGGTCTCTTCATTGAATGCTTTATCAACTTGGTTGCTCTTTGTTTTGTCACGTGTCAATGCTTTATCAACTTGAGTCTGACGAGGATCTTCATTGTTTTTTTTTTTTTTTTTTTGGTAAACAATCTTTCGTTGTTCTTAATTTGCTTCCTTGTGGTGTTGTCTCCTTGAATTATAATTATATGGGTTTGTTGTTTGTCGTTTTAAATGACATAAGTTATCTCATTTTAGGAGAGAGATAGACACAAAAAAATAGAAATCATAGGAGAGAGAAAGTGAATGATTTTTTTAATTTAAAATTTAAATAAAAAAATTATTTCGTGTCTATCTCTCTCTTAAAATGACATAATTTTATGTCATTTAAAATGAGAAACATTTTTTCCTAATTATATATTAATAAACATTTCTTCTCTGCTTGGGAGAGAGTTTTTTCCTCTTATAAGATAAGATTAGCAGCAACGTAAATTAGATTCTATGGTTGTATATATTTGAAAGAGGTTATTGGTTGAAATATTAGTTGAAACAGCATCAGCATTTGTTTTATTTTTGCAGATTTGTTTTGTCGGATATCTTGCTTTTAACTTGAGGTGGTTGGTTAAGATGCAAGTAAAGTGGACCATTTGTAAAAGTACTTTAACTCTCAATTCAGAATAGATTTTAACAAAGTGACAGCATAAAAATAGAACATAACATATATTCATGATCATCAGCGTAGAATTTTAGCTAAGACATAAAGGTCAAATCTTAGCTTGGAATATAAACATAGAATCTTAGCATCGGAATAAAGGTAGAACCTTTTTTTTTTTTTTTTTTTTGGTAATAAAAAGGTAGAACCTTTACTTAGATATAAAAGAGAAACTTTGATTTTAGATATAATAAAAACAAAAGCTTAACATAGTTATGAATATTATTATTTTGATTATGCCAGCAACATTTTGTATAATTCTATAAGCATTAGATGACAACACCTTAGCGGAGGAGAATCAAAGCTTCTTGAGAAGCTCAGATACCATCTTATGAAAGTGAAGATTGGTATATTTCATGGATCTGTAATCTGAATATTATCATCAATGAATCATTACATATATACACTTTCAGATACAAGACACGAAATAAAAATGAACTAAAGGAAACTAATAACAAAGTTCAACTAACCTCCTAAAATCTAGGAACCAATTAACAAACTCCACATTAGCTAGCTAAATTAACTGCACGCAATTATACACATCAACTAGACGTTGCATCAGTTTTATACTTCAACAGTAAGTGATAAAGAAAAAGGAGAAATATGATAAAAGAGTAAGTTAGAGGGGAATTTTTAAACTTTTCCATTACTATTACAACTTCTGTATTGATCTAATTTAAAAATAAAATAAAATAAAAATCCTTGCTTAAAGTTCTTATTCGTGAAAAAAAAAAATCATTAAATTCTCGATTAGAGACATGAACACTTTCTTTATCTTATTTCACTAAAGTCAGGTTTTGACAAAGGAGTTTGAACTTAGGGGAAAAAAAAATAAGAATTTATCCAAAACAAAAAAAGAAAAACAAGAAAATAAGTTTTTATTTTAAATAAATATTATTCCCATTTGAGAAAATTTTAAAATGAAAAAATGAATATCATGTAACTTTCTATTAATATCTTACAGGTACGATTCATCTACTAAAATATAAGAGATAATATAGCACAAAATTTCTTTTGTTTAATTGTTCGATTGAATAAAAAAGAATTAAGACAACACAAATCTCTAAATTTGTAATTTATTAAATCAGGTTATAAAATTTTGTTGACATAATTAAAAAAAAACTCACAATCCCTATCCTTCTATCTAATATCTAGGGTGTTCGTGATTTGGATTGGATCGATTTTGGAAGCAAAAATCATCTAATCCAATTCTTTCGGTTTGATCATGTAATCATCCATTCGGTTTGGATTTTTTTTTTATCCGATCCAATCCAATTTTTTTCGGTTTGGACTGGATCGGTTTTCAATTTTTGAAAATCCTAAAATTTGTTTATGATTATTGTGCAAATAACATCTTTTGTATATATTAACTTTGTAAATTTTTTTTGAAATACAAGCATCTGTAAACAATAACATAGGTTTTTTTTTTTTTGACAATGAGATATGAAACTCTACACAGATTAAATTTTTTTAATAAGATGTGACTAGAATTTTTTTTTTTTGGTAACATAGGATTTTTTTTTTTTGGTTTAGTTGATAGGTTAATGAATCTTGGGTTTAGAAATTTTTGGGCTATGATTTGGGAAAAATCCAAGTAGGTAGAGGAGAATTAATATATTGGATCAATTTGAATTGGATCGATTTTCATCAATCAATCCGAAAATCGATCTAATCCAATTTATAATTTTTAATTTTTGATTATTTAATTATCGATTTTTTGGTTCGGCCAGTAATCTCTACTAGCGTAAAACAAATTCATAACACAAATGATATAGTAATAAATCTTGTATTATTCTATTTATAAATATCACTATTTTTAATCTTATATATTGGGGATACATACGTAATTTTAAGGCACCGGATTTTATTTTTGGAAAAGCATTACGCGGGATGTTAAGATTCAGAACCGAAGGGATGCTCTGAAAGTCTTCGTCTTTTTAGCTACATGTCATGTATAGTTGGAGAAATAAATGAGCATTGAATGGATAAGCCGGAAAAAGAAAATTAAAATATTATTATTTTAATAAACAATTATGAAAATAGAGTTTTTTTTAACCAATTTAGGAATTTATGACACTCATTTAGTTCAATTTGGAGCAGTTCATTCACCCGTTACGACGTAATCCATGATACATTTATACCTTTTCTAGGGTGTGACCACTCCTGGTATTATTTGGCATAAAAAATTAACAGTTTGACAGTAAAATTTTGTAAGATTATAATTTTTGATTCGAGAGTTTGAATTAGATAAATTTTTTTTGATTCCACGTAAAATCATCTGATATCACAAAAAATTTACCTGATTCAAATACTTAAGTAAAAAATTATTACCTTTTGAAGTTTTTCAGTGAAACTATTAGCTTTTTTGTACCACATGTTAATATTAGGAGTGGTTATGTCTAGAAAAGACATAAATGTCTCGTTTAGATGTAAATAAATAAAATAGATCCTTAAATTGATTTAAAATAGTTATATTTCCATAATTATTTATTAAAATAACAGTATTTTTATTCCCAAATAAGCCAATAGGAGAGGATATGGTTTTAAGTCAGCCACGTTTTCTTGTATGAGTTTAATGTTTTTTTTGTTTTAATTTTTTTTTCTGTCACAGATCTCAATATAATCATAAAAGAGAGGAAAAATTAATAGAATCTATTATGACAAAAAAAAAGTATAACAAATATAAATTTTCTATATATATATATATATGTAGCCATGTAGGTAGTTAGTTATATTTTTTTTAAATGTTTTTTACTTGTTTGAAAAAATATAAAAAAAAATGTATTTAAGTGAATATTTTTATTATGTAAAAGAAAATAACTTATTAAAAATTGTGAAAACTTTTTATTGTGGAAACTGAATCACATTTAATGATATATATTATTTTTTTTGGTACTACACATTTAATGATATTAACTCTTACAGCAATGCGGTCTGGCCCAAAAGCTATTTGAGTGGGTAGCTTTTATGGTATGGCCGACATATGGTACTCTTACATTTTAAATTATTAAATTTTACTTTAGAATTAGTATATGATAATTAACACTTGTTAATATTAATAAGAGAGCAAAGTTATTATATTACCAATATATATAACATGTTATGTCTATTTTTTTATACCAACTTTGTGTGCTCCCCGGAGCAGAGTCAGGGGAAAGTTTGGATGAACGGTTGTCCCTCCAAAATTTGAAAAAATATTTTTATTGATGATAAATGCAAACAGTGACTCAGCCAGGGGGCTAGGATTGGGTCCCCAAAAGTGGATCTCATCATTCTTTGGCAATGGACAAAGCTGGCATTGCAATGGAGGAGGAGGCATCTTTTTGGCACTGAAATATGGGAGCAAAAGTTCCTTTTCTGATTGGGTCATATGAGAAACTAATTATTAGGGTTTCTTTGGATGAAAAAATTGCTCAGCACAAGAAGGGGCGTTGGCTTTTAACATGAAAGGTTTTCTTAATATAGGTCGGTTTCAAAATAGAAGAAAACACAGAGATGCATGTTGGAAGGAAAACATAAAGAGAACAGAGAAAAAAAATTCCTGATATGATGCTCCTCAGTTATGCTATGATGCACGGACACTGACACGGGACACGACACGACACGTCGACATGTTAATTCTAAAAAATGGTATATTTCAACACGTTAGGACACGTTTTGATATTAAATAATTAATATATATAATATAATTTATATTTAATAGATATAACAGTCCATAATAAGTCATATAACCAATCAAATATTCAAATCTCATAACATAAATATAAACAAAAATAATTTTTCGTACCTTCTTAATTTTTCATGTCAAATTTCATAAAAAAAAAATTGATTTATAAATGATTTTTTTTATTTTTAGTTAATAAAATAAAATTAAGACTAAAAAAAAAAACGTGTCTGAGCATTGACCACGTGTCCGAAAAAGTTGATTGCGTGTCGGAAAAACTAGTCGGAGAGTTGACCACGTGTCCCAAAATATTAACTGCGTGTCCGAGGGTGTTCGTGTCGGACACATGTCCGACACGCATTATTCAAAAAATTTGTCGTGTCCGTGCTTTGTAGCTCCTCAGTCCCAATTTTTTTCCCTCCCCCTCCCCCTCCCCCAATCCTGGCTCCGCCACTACGTACTCCTCTCCAATAGTGTTATATTAGAATCTCAAAAGGAGAGAAAAAGAGCGAAGATTAATTGAGATTCTGATTTAACAATGTTAGAGAGAAATAGGTAGAGTATACATGAAGAAAATGGCTAAAAATATTATAAAATTTCTACAAAAGGATCACCTTATAGGATTAAATTATGAGATATGATATTTTACATACTTTTTTTTATATATACCTCACTTACTTATATTCAGCACCATTAAATCATAATCTCAACTAACTTTTACTTTTTATGTTTTCTCTTGAGATTCTAATCCAATTGTATTAGAGATGAGTAGATAAGAGTAAACATGAAAAGCAATAGACATAATATCATATCCCTTATATTATCAAATGTCTTATATACGATCCTTGCTAATAAATCGATTTTTATTTCTATTCGACGACTATTCTTGATTAATATGATATGCATAAGTATTACAGTAAGTCTTTATTATTAGGAAAAAATTTCAAAAACTCTCTGTGATTTTTTTTTCTCGCTTATCTCTTATGCTTTTCTTTCATCGCTTGGTCACAGGCAAGCCTCCCCCCACCCCCCAATTTCCTAATTTTTAATTTATTTCATATTATTTTGATTTTTTGCTGAGAATTCTTTATTTATTTATAAACCTCCCACAACATTCTCAAGTTTAAAATCATATTATGTGGCAATGACAGAAGTTGAGATATAAAAAACTATTAATATAGTATCACCTACCAATTTAAGTTTTTGGATTGAATTGATTCTTTATATGGTATCAAATTTTCGATGTCACTGGTTCGATTCTCACCGCCCTCCACTTTCTCTTATGGAATTTCTTATCATAGGTAGTTGAGTTTATGTATTGTCCACCCTTCAAATCTAAGTGTGTGGGGGTATATTAAAAATATATAAAACCATTAATATAGCTTCATTCGCCAGCTTAAGCTAGCTTTTAGATTGAATTAGTTTTTTACATTGAGTTGAATTGATTCTTTACTCGGTATGAGAGCTTCGTTGTCACGAGTTCAATCTTCATCGCTATTATTTTCTCTTATGAAATTTCTTAGTACGGGTAGACTAAGTCTAATGCATCATTCATTCTTTAAGCTCAGACTCTCGTGTGAGAAAATATGTTAAGACATATAAAATCATTAATATAATATTACATTTCAACTTAAACTTTCAAGTTAAATCAATTCTTTACGGACGAGAAAATGGACTAAAACTCTTTATATACATACCATATAGTATTTTGAACACTACATTAGATTCTTCTATAGCCCAAGAATATTACATATTGAGGAAGATTCACATAATTTCTGACCACGAGGTCAGTGTCCATAGAAAAATGCATTGACAATTCTCATAGCAATTGTCTGTCAATCAAATACAACCCATCACCTCAAACACTGGATATGGCTGCCACCAATTCTATAACGTAACCTCTAAAACTTATATCAATAGTCACACACAAAGGCAAGAAAAAAAATGTTTTGATGTAAAATGAGTAAATTAATTCAATTACTAATACTGTTAAAGATGTACTTGAATGGTTTTACCAAAAAAAAAAAGATGTACTTGAATGGAAAAAATCACAAGAGAAGCAAGTGATAAAAAATATATATAAGGAGATAAATGATAAAATGGTAAATCAGAGGGGGGAAAATGGGGAATTTTTAAACTTTTCCATTATTATTACAACTTATGTATTGATCTAACTTAAAAAATAAATAAAAATCCTTCCTTAAAGTTCCTATCCGTGAAAAAAAAATCATAAAATTCTCGATTGGAGACATGAACACCTTCTTTGTCTTATTTCACTCAAGTCAGATTTTGACAAAGGAGTTTGAAGTCAGAGAAAATAAAAACAAGAATTTATCCAAAAGAAAAACAAGAAAATAAGTTTTTATTTTAAATAAATATTATTCCTATTTGAGAAAATTTTAGAATGAAAAATGAATATCATGTAACTTTCTATTAATATCTTACAGGTGCGATTCATTTACTAAGATATAAGAGATAATATAGCACAAAAAATATATTTTTTGTTTAATTGTTCAAGTGTTATAAGTATTGAATAAAAAACAAATTAAGACATTTGAGCCAAAAAATAAAATAAAAAAAATAAGACAACACAAATCTCTAATTTTTAATTTAGTAAATCAGGTTATAAAATTTTGTTGACATAATTTAAAAAAAAAACTCATAATCCCTATCCTTATATCTAATATCTATTAGCGTAAAACAAATTCATAACACAAACGATATTATAATAAAATTTTATATTATTCTATTTAGAAATATCACAAAAGTTTTAATCTTATATATTGGTCATCAAATAGATAACAACATAAAAAAATAATTAATGACTCAATTACTTATACTCTTGGAGATTAAACCCAACCTTATTAATTTTTAAGCAAATGCTCGTGCAGCCTGGGACATTTGATTTTGGAAGTTGGGCTTGGGGGGAAAGGCTGAGAATGGTGGTGTGCTAAAGTGTATGTAAGTTTTGGGCCTGTTTTTGATGTGGTTCAAATGTTCAATTGTGGGTTTGATTTGAAATTCAAATATGAAAATAGTCTCACTTGCCAATGCCCTTAGAAATGACAACATCATTTTTCCGTACTTTTCTTATTTCAAGGTAAGAATGCCCTAATTAGATATGACAACATCATGTTTCTCTACTTACTTATTTCAAGGTAAGCTACGCCACAATTTTCAATGATATAGGAAAAATGATAACATCTCTCTCATGGTGTCGATAGAATGACAACATATTATGTCAGTGACATGATATGAGAATGAGACTATTATATCACTCAAAGTCTCGAACATATATAATATAAAAATAAAAATCAAACTCAGAAAACTATGTGCTGTTTTACAAATGACAACATAGTGAATCCGTGACAGGACATGAGGTTTTATGACACCCAACCATATTCATATAAAAAAGAAATTAACATCCTGAAGCAAGAAAGTTAATGTGCTGTTTTACTGATTGAAATGTTCCTCCCAAATCCCAGTACATGGTTCATCTCAGAGGTGTGAAACCGGGAGCACAGGGTGGATTGGTTTGGACTGCCATATCAACTCTATTGGTATGTGTGTCTATATGTATATATCTAATTTACTTTGTGCTCCTGGGTCACCCCACTGAGCAAACCTGTTAGATATGACGTCACCTTTTTTATCACAACCTCCTCTTATAATGTTTTCAGATGATCTCAGAAACGAGGTCTTTCTCCAGCAGAATTTTCCAACAAAACTATGTTTGCTTAGAGATCAATAATGTTACTCCTACACTTTATTTTCTATTCTGATCTTCTACACTTTTCTTTTATTATGAAAAAAAAAGTAAATTTTTTTTTTTTTTAATAAAAGGGAGGTGTAGAGGAAAAGTGTACAAAATGAATTGTAAGAATATCAATATTGTAGAAATATAAGCAGCTGCAGCCATTGCCACAATTTTAACAGCCCCAAGGCTGCAGAAGAACAAAATTTCATTTTTTTTGGGTAATTAAATTCATTTATTTTCTTCTTTCTTTGTTTAAAAGGAAAACTTGAAGGGATGACTGTGTGATGTGAGGGATTATAGGCATCATTTTTAGGCAGCAATACAAGTATACAACCAATGTACTGAAACACTTAATTGTTTAAAAAATTGTAGTAAATATATGACGTACATGATAATTTATAAAAAATTTAAATTTTATTATGTGAAATTATTAATTAATAGTTATAATTTTACATTTAAAAAAATTATTAATAATGTATTTTTTATTGATGAATAAATTTAATGTAAATATTATTATATAAAAATTAAAAAGTAAGGGTAATGCATCTCCTCTTTCGCGAGAAGAAATGTATTTCGTGCAAAGCAGCAAATGGTGTGGGTACCATTTTTAATTTTTTTTTTTTCAGTGGATAGCACCATTATGTTATGTTTGTAAGAGATGCATTTCTTTTCCTGTACAAGGGTAATGCATTTCTTCTATTACAAGAGAAGAAATGCATCTCTTGCTAATATAACAAAAGTGTGGATTCCATTTTTAATTTTTTTCTTTTCTCGTTTCAATAGACCCCACGATTATGTTGTGTCTGGCATTTCTTCTCCTATAAACTGAAATTATTTAATGGAATTCATTATTTAAAAAAGGTAAAAACTATTCTCTGCAAAATATATATTTTCATATGAATTCTTCGATTTTTGTGTTTTTTTTTTCTAATAAATAAATGGTCCCACCACATAATTATGTTTATCGCACGAGACAAAGTATTTCATACCGAGAGAGATTAATAAACCCCTTTAAAAAAAAGTTTTATAAAAGTTACTTGTTAAGAAAAGTGATTAGGTTACGATATAGAAATTCGTTTTTTGTGTTTTTGTTTTTTTTTTCAAAAAATATGAGTCCAACAAAATATTATGTGTGTAAGTGATTGTATCATGTTACATTATAAATATAAACCCCTTAAAAAAACATATGTTTCTATATGAAAAAAAGAGGTATTCTTCAAAAATTTTCAGTATCAACTTATTATATATCTAATTACCGTTAGACTAACATTTTAATTTTTATCTTTCTTAAAAAAAAATCTAACATTATTTTTCTTTAATCCAATGATGATATGATGAGTAGTAACTTACTAATAAATTTTTTTGGTAGTTATAATATACTTATCTACATAAATAATATTCTCCTTTAAAAGAAAAGAAGAATAGTTTATTTGGTCTAGGGTAAAATTCGAAGAGGTTAGGAAATGGAGATGGAAGTAGACACTGAGAAGAAGCCACAAGACATGAAAGAGAAGGACCTATTCAAAGCTGCTGAAGATGGTGACTCCTCAATCTTCGAAGCACTGTCACCAGAAACCCTCTCCAAAGCCCTCTCTCTTAGGAACGAAGACGCTCGCTCCCTTCTTCACGTCGCCGCTTCTTCCGGTCACTCACAGGTACCTTTTCATCCCCCTCACCCCTCTTACTTCAATTGCTATAAAAATATCTTCTTTTTGCATTTAGACCAGAATCCGAAATTAGGGTTTCTAGCAAGTGAATACTGTCATCTTACTTAAAATTGGAAGATTATTGTCTTCATTGTTATGGATGGGAATTTATCAGGTGGTGAAGATACTGTCATCTGCTGATGCATCGGGTCGTGTGATAAATAGTGCAGATGAAGAAGGGTGGGCACCGCTTCATTCTGCTGCCAGCATTGGGAGTTTGGAGATAATGGAGATTTTGTTGAGCAAAGGTCAATGCTTTTTTATCTTCTGTTTCTCAAAATTGATTGAACTGTAAGCTAAGTGGATTAAGTGATTAATGTTTGTTCCCTGAGACTATTAAGTTCGTTTTAAAAAGGTGTTATATTATACATATAGTCTGGTATTTTATTTTTATTTTTTAAATCCTCCTCACGGGGTTATGCTGATTTCAATTGCTTATTATATTTGAATAGGGTTGAAATGTATTTTTCTCGATATTATGGCTTAACATTGGAATCTTCTTAATTGATGTAGCATTTGATTGAAAAAGGCTGTGACCGTTAGTTGAGTTTCATATATGTTAGGCTGTTATTGTATTTTGTCTCTATGTTTTAAATTGTGGAATGTTTCTTGAACTTTCACAAGTCTAGTACTAACATGCAGTGCCAATGACCAGTAGCTTTCAGGACTATATTTCATTTACCATGTAGGAAGGTTTTTTCAATTATCTTGAATTTCTTGTTCTTCATTTTTGGTAGGAGCTGATGTTAATCTGAAAAACAATGGGGGTCGCACTGCTTTACACTATGCTGCCAGCAAAGGTTGGTTGAAGATTGCTGAAATACTGATCTCCCATGATGCCAAGATTAATGTAAAGGACAAGGTTGTAGCATGGACAGATTTGATACATCCACGGCATTACAGTTTCAATATATCCGTTTTTAAAGATGACATGCATAATAATTTAGTATGTCTTTTACTATGATCAGGTAGGTTGCACCCCATTGCATCGGGCAGCCAGCACCGGAAATTTTGAGCTGTGTGAGCTTTTGATTGAAGAAGGAGCAGAGGTTGATGCTGTTGATAGATCTGGTCAAACTCCTCTAATGAATGCTGTGATTTGCCAGAACAAAGAGGTATGCTTATTCTCTGTGTGTGCATGCACACTCGTGTGTGTACAACTGTAAAAGAATGCGTTAACAGGGTTCCTTTGTACAATATTTCTCAGAAATCTGTCTAGAATTTTTTCCTCGTATGATTTTTATCGTGGGAATATAACTCTGTTTCCTTTTTAAATTCTGGCAGCTTCACCATGCTTAATGAATTTTTTTTGCAAAATTCCTATCTACTTGTGCATTAATTAACTAGATATGACTTCTTGAGCCATTTATCACTTCTCTTATAATCTAATGATTTCATAAGTTTTTTTTACATGTGAATTTTTCTATAAGGATTCTAAGTTGATTGTTCATAGTTGAATCATATGCAAGTATATTTCTCTGACCTCATGTTTTTTTGAAAATTATTTCATACTTATTAATCTAGAACTAAATTGTGTTCGGGCCTTGTTAATGCCTGGTTAACATTAGACAGTGAAGCATTGAATGCCAGGCTTGAGCTGCTCAATACTAAGGGTGTGTTTGGCAGGGGAGTTTTATTTTGTTGCCTAGGAAAGTTCACATGGGATTCAAAAAAGACCATGTTTGGTAGGGGTTTTCAAAAAATTTGCCTATGGTTCTGATTTGCATGGGAATGTGACATTGTGTGTAAAATTTTATCCAGATTACCACTTGAGAATACCACCTTGAGGGTGGTATTTTGATTTAGCTGGAAAACAAAAAATTGGGGAGTGAAGCATTGAATGCCAGGCTTGAGCTGCTCAATACTAAGGGTGTGTTTGGCAGGGGAGTTTTATTTTGTTGCCTAGGAAAGTTCACATGGGATTCAAAAAAGACCATGTTTGGTAGGGGTTTTCAAAAAATTTGCCTATGGTTCTGATTTGCATGGGAATGTGACATTGTGTGTAAAATTTTATCCAGATTACCACTTGAGAATACCACCTTGAGGGTGGTATTTTGATTTAGCTGGAAAACAAAAAATTGGGGAGTGAAAATTTGGACACAAATATCCATGAAATAACGTGCCAAAATTTGATAGGCAAGGGTTACTTTGATAATTTCAACCCATTTTTCTAGCAATATTTTACCTTCAACCAAACATAGACTCAGGAAACTCAAAACAATTTTCCCGGTATTATTTCGGCCTATCAAACAACTTTTTTTTAACTTTCCCACAAAACTTACTTTCCCACCATATTCCCAGTAATTGTGATTCCCTGTTAAAAAATTGTTTCTCCTCTATCAAACGTCCTCTAATTGTTCTTTACTAATTCCTGATGTATTTTCTTATTATTTTATCTTGTCTCATTGCTTCTTTTTCTAGTTTTAAAAAGAATAATGGTAAAGGTTTGGCTTTATAATTATAGACGAATGAATGCAGTCTCTGCCTAGAAGGGAAGCTCCCTTAAAGTAAACCGTATGTGGTTATTATATTAAAAATAAAAAGGTTCATACATATTTCTTCTCAGTTCTCACACTTAGTCTCTTACATTTTAGTCTCTTACATTACTAATTATGTTATATTAAATTGATAAGTTTCTTTTTTTACACTTAAAAGAACAATTCATATTCCTAGCATGATATTTAAGTTTTTATAAAATATGAAAGCTGTCTAGCTGCATTGCCCTGCATATTCACAAGAAGATATCAAATAATTTGCTATACTACTAGTGAAAGAAAATCCCTCCTAGTGCTTCTGTCCCTTCTCAACGAAAAGCCCGCTATGACTTAAGTGGGATAGCTCCAAATTTTACATCTCTTTTTAAGCAACTTTTTTTCTAAGATTATATATCATAATTATGTCAATAAATATATTACAGTTTGTTGAAGATTTAAGGTCAGAACATTATGGAAATTGTATTTATATCATGATTATTTATTTTATTGTTTATATTTCTATATGGTATATCCTCCCATGCCCGTACATGTGCCCATATCCATGCAACCTAGCTATTCAGAGTATTAAATGACATCTACTTTTGATTTTAGATGCACTGAGTTGCAAAGAGAGTTACTCTGCAAATTTTGCGCAAAATCTGCAAATGAAATGTTTTGGGGTTGGCTTCATTAGTTATTTATTTAGTATCTGCATAGAATAAATTGATGTTAATGATGAGGAGTACATTGGTTTTTAGAAATTAGAATTGACTTAATTAGTGACTTAATTATTAATATATAGAGAGAGTAGATTGATATCAATGCTGAGGAATATGTTTCTACAGTTTTGTTATTGGAGTCTCGTTATTGTGGAGCAGCATACGTTATTTCAAGGGCATAAATTTCTGACCTGTGTTCGGCTTACAGGTAGCCCTCCTTCTGATAAGACATGGAGCAGATGTGGATGTGGAGGACAAGGAAGGGTACACGGTGCTTGGTCGAGCTACAAATGAGTTTAGAGCAATATTAATAGATGCTGCCAAGGCCATGCTTGAGTGATACAACTACAAGAAAATGAGAATTGCCAGTAATTGAAAAGAGAGCATAATGCATTAAAGGAGGATGGTTTTGCTGAATACTTGTTTTCTGTTGATAAATGATACAGACCAACCAATTTGATGGGAACAAAAGAACAAACCGAAGAAACAATTGGAATAATACCTCGAGAAATGGTATATTGATATGAACCAACAGTTACAGTATTTCAATAAGGAACATTACAATAACAAGAACAGTGTAGTTTTATGGGAATTTCAATAACAGTAATGAAAAATGCAGAAAGAAGAAATGGATAATGTAGAGCAATTGGAGAGGCTCTACTCTCTCCCAAATTCCAGGTCCAAGCAATATCCAAGATGTCTTAACACTAATGCACAATGCACACTACCCTGTTTAACCAACCAAACCCTCCTTAACAATCTCTCCAATTCTGTTATCCAAGTCAGCCACGTCAACTAGGTTGGATCAATTCCACTCTCTGCATGTGTTGCACCTTCTAACAGAATACCCTTTTGCTGACTAGGATCGTATCAATACTTTCCCCCTAACAATCACCTTGTCCTCAAGGTGATGATCATTTTTCGGGATCCGATTGCTTGAAATGTAATGGCCAGCTAATGCATGAGGCTATGTAACCTTCATCACCGGGATCCCACGGTGTGAAAAATATAAGCCAATGGATTTCTAAAACATAAGAGTGCCCACCAGGGTCCCACTCTGCTTCTGCAATTGAAAGCTTATCTGCAAATTTGTAAATAAGTGTCTGCCTTTGTTTTCACAAAGCAAGTAACACGAGCTTCAAATATCAGATTTTCATGAGTAGAAGCAACACCCTCATCAAGTTGATGAAAAGCATTGATAAGACACCTCTGAGGGTGTATAGTAGAAGACATCACAGAGGATCAGCTCAAGGGGGGTCAGCTGAGGTGGCAGGGAATATTTTAGATGGAAGGAATTCAGTTAGAAGGGAAGGAGAGGCACATGATGTGAGGGCTGACGTGGCTGCCTTAAGCGAGTAAGTGGTTATAAGGAGGGTGTGGCATGGAAGGGAGAGGCAGGCTGGATTTGGAATGAACTTGGGAGAGAGCACACCTCTCGAAAGTGTTGCATTCGTGACTGTTCATTGCGTTATTCCTTTATGCAATTCATAGCTGTAGCTGTTCTGCATTTCTTCTTGTTATTGTAATTGTTAGACAAGCTATTTTCCTTCTTTCTTAGATGTATTCAGTTTTCATTATCAATATAAAAAATCCAGTAAGTTCTGGGTCAAATTCCCCTGTGTTTTCATTTCTTTTGCTGGCAATCTGATCCAGTCTTAACAACTGGTATCAGAGCACTCCGATCTGGGGTGCTTTGAATGGTTCTGACGCGCAACATGGACAACCGATTTGAGATTTTAGAAGAGAGGCTAAGAAGCAACGAGGCGTTGGTGGAGGAACGCTTCCGGCAAAATGAACAAAGACTCAATGAAATACTGCAGCTATTGCAAGACGACCGTCATCGCAGAGGGCACCGTAATCATGAGGGAAATCGTCGTCGTGGTCGCTCACGGAGGGTGAGCCTTGAATCCACAGAATCTGACAATAGATTCGAGACGGAGGCGGACATGCGTAGAACGGGATGGCAAAGCCCAAGACTAGATCTACCAAGATTCTCAGGAGATGATGTGTACTCCTGGCTGAACAAGGTGGAAAGATTCTTCTTAATTAATAGAATCCCAGACAGAGACAAGGTGGAATCTGTGATGGTGGTATTGGAAGGTTCTGCTCTGAATTGGTACCAAGTGTGGGAGCGCGACAGCCCTAATGCGTCGTGGGCAGACTTCAGAGCAGACGCAATGGAGCGATTTCAATTGGAGGTGAGTGGAAGTCCCTACCAGGAATTAATGAATCTGAGACAAACTGGAAGTGTGGCAGTTTACAGGGCTGAATTTGAACGGATCATTGGCCCCCTCCATTATGCTGATGATCATATGTTAAGGGAAATATGGCTCCATGGCATTTGTGACAGCTTCCGTATTGAGTTGCTGTAGAGAAACGTCACAAGTTTGGCTGAGATGATGAGAGAGACGATGCTGATGGAGAAACGAAACGCTGCGTGGATTGGGGATGGGTTTGGAATTAACGGAGGAGTAAGATGGGCTGGACTAGGTAGGACAAATCAGCCAAATCGAATTGGGCCAAGCTCAACGAGTAACAAACAAGGGCCCAATCACGCAACCCAGCTCAATCAGACGTCGAGAAATGACGCTTCTGCCCCTAATAATGTGGCTGAGAATAACACGCGTGTCTCTGGAATTGCCAATTTGGGGGAATCTGCTGGCATTGCACGAACCCTAGCAGATTCGACCAGTAATAATCAGAAATTTGTGGGACGGAGACTTTCCCAAACGGAGCTTCAAGATCGCATGCGTAGGGGAGCGTGTTTCAAGTGCAATGAAAAATGGAATCTGGAACATCGTTGCAAAAGTGCACAGCTGCAGCTCTTGTTGGTGAACGACGACGAAGAAGCCGACCGTGCAAAAGGGGAGAACATCCAAGTAGAAGAGGAGAATGAGACAGAGAAAGAGGAAGCGTTGCAGCTTTCTATGTACAGCGTCCTAGGGCTCTCTTCGAACCAAAGTATGCAGCTATGGGGCTCCATCCGAGGAGAGCGTGTCACGATGCTAGTGGACTGCGGAGCGACTCATAATTTTGTGAGTAAGGCAGTGGCGGACCGTTTGTGTCTGGATGTTGAAGAGACCCTCACTTTTAAGGTGGAAATGGGGGACGGTTACAAGGTTACTAGCCACGGGATCTGCCGTCAGGTGGAAATTCTAATACAGGGCACATCCACGCGTCAGGATCTACGCATCTTCGAGCTTGGTGGGGCTGAAGTCATTTTGGGTCTCGACTGGCTGAAAAGTTTGGGAGAGATTCGTGCTGATTTCAACAAACTCACCTTGAAGTTCCTTGACGGTGACCGTGAAGTGGTGTTGAAGGGAGATTCATCTATAACCTGCAAGAAAACGACAGCTTCTTTTCGTTCAGCAATTAAGGCGTTGGCTGAGGACGGACAAGGGTATGTGATAGCTTCGATGTGGTCTTCTGTGGAGCAGAAGAAGAACACTGGATATTGGGGAGAATTAGATGAGTTGCTCGCAGAGTATGAGGACATTTTTCAAGTTCCAAATGATCTCCCTCCAGCCCGAAGACAAGATCATGCTATAATCCTCAAACCAGGAAGTCAGGTGCCAAATGTTCGACCCTACAGGTATCCCCATTATCAGAAAAATTTAATTGAAAATTTGGTTGCTGAGTTGTTACAATCTGGGATGATCAGACCTAGTGTAAGCCCTTACTCCAGCCCAGTAATTCTGATTCGGAAAAAGGATGGTAGTTGGAGAGTGTGTGTTGACTATCGAGCCTTAAATAAGCTGATTATTCCTGATGAATTCCCTATTCCGGTCATAGAAGAATTACTCGATGAGTTAGGAGGCTCTAACATTTTTTCTAAACTGGATCTGAAATCGGGGTACCATCAGATTAGGATGCGTGAGGAGGACATTCCTAAAACGGCTTTTAGAACACATGAAGGCTATTACGAGTACTTGGTGATGCCGTTTGGGCTCACCAATGCTCCTTCCACCTTTCAATCTCTTATGAATGAGGTCCTCAAACCATTTTTACGCAAGTTTGTTCTTGTTTTCTTTGATGATATTCTAATTTTCAGCAAGGACCAAACCGATCATTTGGAACATCTTAAATTGGTGTTTGGGGTGTTGAGGCAACACTGTTTATTTGCAAACAGAAAAAAATGTAGCTTTGGGCAGGAATACATTGAGTACTTGGGTCACATAATTTCCAAAGAGGGAGTACGTGCTGACCCTAAGAAAATTGAAGCCATGACCAAGTGGCTTCCCCCTAAGAATGTGAAGGCACTTAGAGGATTTCTGGGATTGACCGGCTACTATAGGAAATTTGTGCAGGGGTATGGAAAGGTGGCTAAACCATTGACAGACTTGTTAAAGAAGGACAACTTTGTTTGGTCAGCTGAGGCACAACAAGCTTTTGAACAACTGAAGACATTTATGTGTTCCGTCCCTGTCTTGGCACTCCCTGATTTTACCAAGCCTTTTATGGTGGTGACAGATGCTTCGGGACGAGGGATAGGCGCTGTTTTGATGCAAGGGAATCGACCCATAAGTTTTATTAGCCAGGGGTTCTCACCTAGAGCTCAAGAAAAGTCTATTTACGAAAAAGAATTAATGGCTATTGTCTTTGTGGTGCAAAAGTGGAGGCCTTACTTGCTGGGCCGTCACTTTATCATTAAAACTGATCAGAAAAGTCTCAAGTTCCTAACTGAGCAGAAGTTGTTGGGAGAGGACCAACAGAAGTGGATATCAAAGCTGCTTGAGTATGATTTTGAGATCCTATATCAACCCGGAAAGGAGAACGTTGTTGCTGATGCACTTTCTAGGAACTTAGACTTACTTTCCTTGTCTTGTGTTGATGTTACAGCTTATGACCAAGTTGAAAGTGAGTTGCACAGGGACTCAATAATGGGGATTATTATTCAGGATTTACTTCTTGACCCCCAAGCTCATCAAGGATTCTGTTTGCAAGGAGGGCGGCTGTTTTATAAAGGGAAAATGGTGCTGGCTAAACAATCTGCACTGGTTCCTAAAATTCTGTTGGAGTTCCATGATTCTTGCATTGGAGGCCATTCTGGGTTCTTACGGACTTATAAAAGGGTTGCTGGTGTAGTCTACTGGGAAGGCATGAGAAAAAATATCAAGAATTATGTGGCTGCCTGTGCTGTATGTCAGCAAAGCAAGGCCCAAACTCTGTCTCCAGCGGGTTTATTGCAGCCTTTGCCTATCCCCTCTCAGCTTTGGACGGATATCTCCATGGATTTTGTAGGCGGGCTGCCTAAAGCTCATGGGCTGGACACAATCTTTGTGGTGGTAGATAGACTGTCAAAATATGCCCATTTTATTCCTTTGGCTCATCCATATACAGCTAAGGAGGTGGCTTTCCTGTTTATCAAAGAAATTGTTCGCTTGCATGGGTTTCCCTCTTCCATTGTAAGTGACAAAGATCGTGTTTTTATCAGCTCTTTCTGGTCAGAATTATTTCGATGCAGTGGCACGAAATTAAAATATAGCACGGCTTATCACCCTCAATCTAATGGTCAAACAGAGGTGGTTAACCGATGTTTGGAAAATTATTTGCGATGTTTTTGCAGCCCAAAACCATAAACTTGGCCAACTTGGCTCCCTTGGGCCGAGTTTTGGTATAACACATCCTATAAAAGCTCTACGGGTACAACTCCATTCAAAGTTCTGTATGGATGTGAACCCCCCACCTTGTTTAGATCCAGTTTCATGGCTTCCCCTGTAGATGAAGTTTCACAGCTGCTGCAGGACCG